TCTAGGTATAAATTCAAAAGGTAAGTGTTAATGAAGACAGCCGTCACGAACCCATGCAAAGCCCACAATGTCATTGGAGACAGACAGTGTACTTCATTCTTGCATACATGCAATAAATAAAAGTCCATGCACTTCACTCAGAAGAACCTATTTACTCTGATTTTACATTTAGAATTTACTCTTATATTAGAGACAGTTCCTACAAGCATATTGTTTCCTCTTCCAGGTAAGCAGAGAAGCAAATTAAAAGTTGGGGTCACCTACAGTAAGTCACTGACAAGGCACACTGACAGCACCCAGCAGCAGCAGCAGCAGCAGCTAAGAGCCTGACAGCGGAGAAGAAAAATTAACTCAAATCATGAATCAGAATAGAGCCTTAAATGTAGGGGTGAAACAATTGCCATTACACATGTTACAGGAAGAAATCCCTTGTCATAAGACCTGTGTTCTGGATCTGCTGCTCAATCGCAAGCTATTCAGCCCTTTCTGAGCCCAGCTTCACCTATAAAATGAGGATAATACTTCCTTGCCTTATCCACCAGACAGAACTGTCATAAGAGCGGAAAAAATTTATGTAACAATGTGCAAAAGCTGTAACACACTATACACTATGTAACACTAAGAATATGTTCAAATATGTTCTGTATACTCTGTTTAAGAAGACAATATATTTAAATCAATTTCCATTTAAATGGCTAAATAAAAAAAGAGCACTTCCCTTAATAGTAGAAAATTAACTTACATGGTTATCACTTATCCCCTACCCCAAAATGCCAGGGTTTTTTTTAACTATTAAGAGAAAAAGAGGAAGAGTTTTAAAGCAAGAGAAAAAGACTTCAGCTGCCCTTTGGAAACCAGATAGGTTATACAACACTTCTTCTAATGGGAAAGACATTTCAAAATGAGAAAAGATAAAATATTTTTTAAATGAATATCCATACCTAAAAATATAACATGAAATATAATATCTACTATAGTTATATTATAGGGCAATATTTTTCAAACTGTAGGTCAGAATCACTAGTGAATTATAAAGTCAACTTAATGGGTCACCACCAGGATTTTTTAAGAAAATAAGATAGAAAATATTAGGGTATACTGCATTTAATAAAGGTATTATTTCGTAGACCTTTGTTTTACTTAATACGTATTTATAATCACATGCAATATATGTACAGGAGTGCTGGGTCACAGTGTAAACATATTTCTTATGTGGAGTTGTGGTCAAAAAAGTCTGAAAGTCACTGATAGAAAAACCAATAAATAAGCATGTGGTGTTCTAGATGGCAGCTAAGGAGTAAACAAAGAATTTAAAAGCAGCTAGTACTTAAGACTGACCAAGACACAAGGAAAGAAAGAAATCACAGCCGGGACCAGGCTGAAGAAGAGGGTAGCGTTTTTTAAAGTCATCAAGCAGCATTCCTTGAAGTAGGAAAAAGACAGCAATCCTTCTATGAATAAAAAAGGCAAATAGAGGAAGGCATATGCTAACAAAAATGCTGTACTGGAACCCAGGAGAATCCAATCCATAAAATCCTCTGACTTTAGTCCTCAAATTTCTCATCTGTAAAGTGAAAGGATTAGACTAGAAAATAAATTTAAGATCCTACCCAACCTTAACAATCTCTGATTCTAGTAGAGTTTATAACAATTAAGTCATGACATGAGTCTTTGGTTTGTAACTAAGACCTTTTATTTTTAATAACTGAAACTTTATCTTTTAATAAGAAAGTTATATTACATCTTCTTAATAAAAAATAGGTTTTTAATATTTGCAAATCATATATCCAAGAAAGGGTTACTCTCCATAATACATAAAGAACTCACACAACTCAACAACAAAAAAATCAAACAACCCAATCAAAAAATGGGTAGGGGATATGAAAGACATTTCTCCAAAGAAGATAGACGGATGGCAAATAGGCACATGAAAAGATGCTCATCATCACTGATCATCAGGAAAATGCAAATCAAAACTACACTAAGATATCACCTTATCCCGGTCAGAATGGCTAAAATAACCAAAACAAAAATAACAAATGTTGGAGATGTTGTGGAGAATAAGGAACCCCTATACACTGCTGGTGGGAATGCAAACTGGTGCAGCCACTATGGAAAACAGTATGGAGATTTCTCAAAAAATTACAAACAGAATTACCATATGACCAAGCCATTCCACTACTGGGTGTCTATCCAAAGAACATGAAATCAGCCATTCCAAAAGACCCATGCACCCCTATGTTCAGTGCAGCATTATTTACAATAGCCAAGACATGGAAGCAACCTAAATGCCAATCAACTGATGACTGGATAAAGAAGATATGGTATACATATACAATGGAATACTACTCAGCCATAAAAGTGGATAAAATCGTCCCATTCACAACAACATGGATGGACCTTGAGGGTATTATGTTAAGTGAAATAAGCCACATAGAAAAGGACAATTTCTATATGACTCCACCCATATGTGGAATTTAAACACGTAGACAAAGAGAACAGATCAGTGGTTACCAGGGGAAAGGGGGGGTGTGGGATGGACACAAAGGGTGCAGTGGTGCACCTACAATATGAGTGACAAACAATAATATACAACTGAAATTTAACAAGATTGTAAACTATCATAATATCAATAAAGTTAAAAAATCTTTTTAAAAAGAGGTTTTTACATAAAAATTAAGGCTTAATGGCTAATGTCATATTTCATCATCTCAGTTTTCCATAGGTCTAGCAGGCTGGGTCAAAATTATCCTTAGACAAACACATTTCTATTCCCCTGGTGGCAACCATGAAAAGCAAAGAGAAGGTGCCTTGGAGGAGTTAAGTAACTTCCATATAGCTTTCTTGGCACCATGGCCTATTTAAAAGTTTTTAAAAATTACAACAATTATTGAGATACATTTAAATTGTTAAACTTAACTGCCATCAGTAATAAGTGTTTTATAGACTAAAAGATTAGATGTTCCTAAAATTTCTTATCTCCTTCCATAGTAGGATCAACCATTTTAGCTTAATCATTTATTTCCTAGGTAAAGGTACCAATTGGTTCCTTAATGTTTTCCTATTATGGCATCAATTTCCTGGCCTGGACCTGGCTGTCCCAGTTTACGTGCCCCTTAGCTGGCTGCTCAGCCTGCAGGCTCCTTATATTGGTAAGCCCTTTCCCAGTCTGTGTCCACTTCCTTATGATTAGAGAGCCTGTATCTGAAAGAAGAGTGGTTGCAAGCTCTCAAGTAAGAAACACACACAAAATCAATTTAGTACACACAACAGAGTTGCTCTGATGGACAGAGACTACATATTATAACATGAGGCGGTGTTCAGAGAAAGACGTGTATTTTACCATATAGATGTCATATTTCGGGCTGCCTCTGCAACATGATGGAATCTCTTCTACTTTTAAGCAAAAGATCCCTAGATCTTTCAACTAAGGGATGAAAAATGACAGCAGAGAAATGTATAAAATAGGACTGAATAGAGGTACTGTCGAAGGAATAAAAACAGATCAATAGACCAAGCCAATCAATCACTGATAGCTATTTTGACTCTGAATACTATTACAGAACAGCCCTGAGGAAAAGAATTAAATCTCTATAGAAATATACACATGCGCGCGTGCGCACGCGCACACACACGCGCACACAGAGTGGTGTTCCATCACGCGTATCATTAGTACAAAGCAAGAAGAGAGCACAACATTCATTATCTGTTCTCTCTGCAAGTTCCTATTGCTCATCATTTCTCTCCTTCTACAAACCAACACCTACTTTGGAAAACATCATCTTACAAATCAAACCACTCTGACGGAAACAGATGGATGCATGTCAACCCAAGTAACCAATGTGCAGAAACAGAGCAAATGCAGGTTTTGCTGAATTCACTTCTTACTGAACTTAGAGCTCTTTTGCCAATTCTCACGTTCTTTAAATACACACCAAGTGAGCGATTAGACATTAATTTTACCAAGTGCCATCCAAATAGCTGATTTTGAAACATAATACAGAAAAATGGTGTGATTCTGATTTGTAAAACTCACTTCGGGGATTAACGCTAATTAAACCACATTGCTACTGTCCAGTGAAAGGTTCGAATATGCATTTAAGAGCTGAATAAAACATGGGACTAGAAAATACACAACAAAAATATGCATGAGTAAGGAAGAAAGCACAAGTCTCTATAAAATGTTTTAAAATATGAATTAAGGGGAAATTGAGGAAGTGAAGATCCATTTGTGGTATAAGGTCCCGAAGTCAGCACTAAAGCTTTTAGAATCAACTACGCCAAAAGCAGGCACCACAGGGAAATGAAAGAAGGTCGAAACTGGGAATAAATAAACAGGAACCTGATGAAAGGAAGAAACGAACACAACTGTGTTGATGATGTCTGTAGTGTTACTATTCCATCAAACAACACCATTTCTTACAGGGAGTGAACTGAAAATTGGACAGACTATGCTGTCTAGCTACAATCCACCTTAGTGAAGGCTGAACATGAGAAAATAATATAATGTCAATCCGTGCCAACAGGGATTTCTAGAAATAATTTTTACTTACTATACCTAAAATTTTGAAATCATTTTGGACTTTTCTTAATACATTAAAATATGCGAAAAGTTTTTGCGTAAAAATGCAAGAAAAAGAGAAACTGTTTATTATTGATACTAGTTGAAAGGATAACAGTAGGATAATTCAGAATAAGAATATTTCTGATGAATAAAATTAGCACTTGGTATAAAATACATAAAACTATCAATGGAAAAAAAAAGCAGAGGTAAAAACCAAAAAAACTAGAAATGGATTTTCATTCTAAAATTTAACACTTAAACTGACTTAAATAGCTACAGTATTATATCAACTTAAGAGAAAAGTCAATATACTAGCATTAAACAAACAAATACAGAAAGCACACAAAAAATATACAAACCAGCTTAAATGAAGCCTTTCTACAATATAATCATGCTGACAATTAACCTCCAAGTCAGTTTCCCTCAGTGAACTCACCCAACATTTTCTGCGTCTTCGTCACACTCAGCTTTATATTTGCAAGGTCCACACTTGGAGTGTTTTCTGTGAACTTCTGCCCCTGACCCTTCCTCTTCTGTTTAAAAAGAAGAGTTAAATTTTCAACCGAACGTTGGGATCCTTTCCAGATATGTTTCATGTTTTCAGCAGCCATTATCCTACTTCTGGGGAGACTGTACCCAAATTCTTCATAAAAATCACTTCCAAAACCTATCCACACTTGAGCCCAAAAATCTTGCAAATATTGACTGTAACATATTCTGTGATGAAAAACAAGTACTGGTACTAGCAAAATAATCCCTTAACCTATGTACAAAGGAACAATACAGTAGGTTTTGATAATTAATTGCCTTTAAAAGAATTACCATATAACACTAAATGAGAGAGGAAAAAACGAAACGTGAGCAATAAATTTAGTCCAGTGATTACCCTATTGAAATAGCCTGTGCAATGCTGGTTAGCTAAAAAATGATTAAGTACATTAAAGTACAACCATCACCTTTTCCTCATATCAGTTCACACCCGACTTTCTGACCACACAACAACTAATTCCAGAGTTAAAAAAATATATTTATCTCCGAAATAAAAAGGAAGAGGTCTCTTTACAAAAGACTTGCCCCTTTTTCTACTTTCCCACTTAGCACAGCCAAAAATACTCAGAATGCAGAAGTATGTGGGTCTCCTATGATCCACCACAAAAAACAGTGCATACCACCAGTCCCCAAGTCAGCTCACATCCCACGTGGAAGAGGACCCTACATTTGTGGGTTTCAGCTAGAGTGGATCCTAGCCTGATAATCTCAAACTGGGCAGGGAGATCACTTCTGAGGCCAATTTAGGGACTGCAGTTTACTCAAGAATTTCTCATTCTAGTTGGGGAAAGAACACCTTATGCCGGAGAGGCCAATCAGTAAAGAGGGTATTAAAAGGAGAGGACACACACCTAATATGCCTGTTTGCTAATACTTCCAAACTTCCAATTTTTGGCGTCTACCTGCACTTTAAGTAGAAATCCTCCCCAAATTCTTGTGAATACTCCCAAAGAGATTCCAGGGATAATAACCTTAAGTATTTCTGAGGCCTCAGAAACATCATGAGATCTAGAAGTCATACAACCACCATAAGCTCACTAACATTGGTGTATTAATCTGAGAAAAACACTTAGCCTTTCTAACTCCTGCTCCCTAAAACTGTCAACCCACAGCCTCTGAGCAAGACATCCAGTATGTGCACTACCTAAGCAAATCTTGAGATCAACTTTCACTTCTTTCATAGAGGAACAGAGACAGTTTCCTAACTGAATATCTGACCACAGGGGCTGGACCACATGGTCTCTCAAAATCCTTTCCAGCTTTAAGACCCAGAATTTATGATCTGATCCTTCACACGTGATCATGAAGCTTCTTCCCAAATACCTCCATTTAAATCAAATTCTATCGTTGGACAGCTTTAATCCCCCCCTCCTCCACCCCTCAATGAAGCTGTCATCCCTGAACTTCTTCCTCAGGACAGTTCTATTTTCTGGGTGACCTTTAAAGTCCCTTCCACTTCTGAAATTTTAGGATTCTAACAAATGTGGAAGCCCAGAGTAAGGTTTCAGACAGTGTTCAAAGGATCAGAACTTAGTTTTCATTTGAGTAAGCATGAATTTTACCAGAGTAAGTTTTCTTTTCGTGAATCCCCATAGCACCTCAAACGCTATTTTGCAAATAGTGGATACTCACTAAGAATTAGAGCCTCATTAGACTACGAAATAGATTAGTCATTCTCGATTCTGACAATTTACAAGAAATTTTGTTATATGTTATTACCAAATATTAGTTTTCTAAAAAGCAGAAATAATTCATATATTTGTAAAATAAAATCAAAACATAAACAGGAAAATTACGATGGTTTAAATTAAAGCCTAAATTCCACTAGTTCTTCTGCAAGCCTTCTCTTTTGCTGTGCACAACTCACATGAGGGCTTTTAAACTCTGTACTTTAAAAATTCCTTATGAGCAAAAATTTGTAAGCAAGGAGTAAGAGAGAGTTACAAACACTGTGGTCCAAGCCAAAATCACTCGTGGGGACGATCCTAAGTAGAAGGCACTTTGGTGCAACCTCAATTTAACAAGAGCTACAACATTTCCCCTTTGTCTGACAATAAACCTTTCATGAAAAATAACTGCACGAAACAAAGGATGCCTAGGTCGAAGGGGTATAGAAGTGTTGGAGGTGATGGCTAAGGGGTGCAGAGTTTCTTTCTGGGGTAACAAAAATGTTCTAAGATTGACTGTGGTGATGAAGGCACAACTCTGTGAATGTACTAAAAGCCACTGAATTGTACACTTTAAATGAGCAAACTGTATGGTCTGTGAATTTTATCTCAATAGAGCTGTTAAAAAAAGTGAAAGAAAACAAATGTCCCATAAGGGATACTTGAAACTTACCTCCTTCTCCAGAACCAGAACCATTATCTGAGAATAAAAACAAAGAACAAATATGAACACTTTTCCTGGAAATTTCATCTTATCAAATAATAAAATTTCTTATCAAAAATCAAACTATGATATCAATTCTCATGTTGCCCTTTTCTCATTTTTTTATGCCTAACAGTTTATTCTTATATACCTGTTTTGTGCCTTTCTCCAAATATAAATTCCTTGGACACAGAATCATCTATAACTCATGCATCTTTGTAGCCCATTGAGGAAATATCCAGGTGCCTTGCACAGAGTAAAGACCAATAAATATTGTAAAGTAAATGGCTAAATAGAAATAATTTTATTAACTCACCTAAAGGTAGAAGAAAATTTTAATTTTGTTAAAGCTTGAGAGGAACAATGAATAAGCTCTTTTTATTAGAAAGAGAAGAAAAGAGCTTTGGGTCTTGCTCCAAAAATCTTCTTAATGAAATCTGTGGATGAAGGCCAAAAGCCAAAAGGTAAAAAAAGTCCCAAGATTTAGAAGGAAAAAACCTCAGGTTGAGGTTTTCCGATTACTGATGAAATTAACTTCCTCTAGGAAACCTAATCTGAAGAAATCTCACCAACGTGTACATGGGACACTTGTTACTAGTGACATTAAAGAGCCTTCCTCAGAGTCACCAGCAAGAAGCCCGTCTAAAATGTAATTAATGTTAAATATTTATTTTACAATCCTGAAAGAACCAACATATGGCACAGAGCATGCTGAAAGGAGGATAATGCTATCATATCATCAGCATGCAGCAGCAAAAAAGTAGAGATGTCAAGTGTAGAACTTGACACATCTAGCACTTTCTGGGGGGGAGGGGGAGGCTGTCTTAGAAAACCTACTCCAATTCTTCAAATAGTTCTCTAAAGTGGGAGACAATACCCTTAACAATATTGCTCCCTTCCCTTCAAGCCCCTTCAGACAATAATCAAATTCCCAGATACGGCAGAAAGAGGAACTGGGAAAATACATATTTTATGTAGTATGCATTGCAAAATCTTCATGGGATTTTATAGAAAGCCTTAGACTACATTCAATTTTGATTAATCAACCATACAAATTACATCTTCTCTGAGTAAGGAGGAGAAAAAAAAAGAGTAGAACAAAGAGAAGGAAGAAGGGAACTCAATTGAAAATTATTTTCATGACCAAAATTCTCTTAGGAAAACACTCCCTTTTTCCTCCTATTCCACATACGTTGACTGAGTACTTACTATGTGCTAGGCAACATGGTAAATGCTAGGAATAAACTGATAAATAAGACAGTCTCAGTGCATGAGATACTTACTGCCAAACTTTTTTCAACTCAAGTCCAATTTTAATAAATACTGTATTTCATATCTTTAGTATCATTTAGAATTCCAAAATAAATTAAATATTGTAACTAGTCTGATAATGAAGTTGAGTTCTTCTTGTAGATTATATTTCACTGTATACACGTCTTCCCCTAGCCACACAACTCAACCCCAACCCTGGGATTATGATGTACCTCCCTAGGCAGGGCATACTGCTTCCTGCTGAGGAATGACTGGTCTGGCTGGAGATAGATGTGTCAGATAAAAGAAACAAAGTATGATATATACATAGAGATATGCACAAAGTGTGAACAAACTCTGCCAGGAGATGCCACAGAAGAAAGATTTCACAGAGGAGGAAAGGTTTAAGCTCAATCTTAAAGCCTAAAAGAGGAGTCTTCAAGTAAGCAAAAGAGAATGTTATTTCCACAGGGAATAGAACCAATAAAAGACCAATGACATGAACAACACTGGCCCACCCAGTAAATTACAGGATCAATATAGCACCTTTTAGTTTAGCTCATTCAATCCTCATTTAACAACCCCAGGAGATTTTATCCACTTAACATTTAGGCAATTGGAGCTCAGAGCAGCTAAGGGACTTGTCCAAGGTCATACAGTAAATAAGAGCTGGAGTTACTTTAAAAGTCAGGTCTTTTAACTCTAGTACAGTGTTCTTTCCAATCTACCATTCTGCTTTCTAATGTTTAACATTCACTGTCTATCCAAGCAGCTGGTGTCTTAAACACAAACTCCTCATAAATGATGCATAATTAATTTGGGATTGTAAAGAACTCCATATTCCTTTTCAGTTTCTAAATCAAGTCTGTGACACACAATGTACTTAGAGAAGTATCTAAGAACCACATCAAATGAGTCTATTTGCCTAAGATCATAATAATATCTCCAAGCACCTAATTATCTACTGTATGGAAAAGAATTTGGCCTTGTCCAAAGAGAGGTCTGGCCTTTGCCCTCGACTTCTGGAAGGTAACTTATGTCGTACCTGATAGAAGTGTCTTGTTTAGGGAAGGTACTGACCAAATCAGATCTTAGGGTGAGGCTGGCTACACTCCATAGTCTTAGAGTGGGGGCTGGCCACACCAGAAATACCAACCATGTAATTTAGAGTAGGGGCTTTGAGTCATGTGATGTTAATGGACCTGGAGTTTGAGATCAACCAGATGGACAATCAATCAATTATGCTTATGTAATATAGCCCCAGCAAAAACTGTGCCATAGGCACTATAATATATAAAGAAAGGAAATGGAGGGGGCCGGCCTGGTGGCACAGTGGTTAAGTGTGCACGTTTGGTTTCGGTGGCCCAGGGTTCGCAGGTTTGGATCCCGGGTCCGGACATGGCACCCCTTGGCATGCCATGCTGTGGTAGGCGTCCCACATATAAAGTAGAGGAAGATGGGCATGGATGTTAGCTGAGGGCCAGTCTTCCTCAGTGAAAAGAGGAGGACTGGCAGCAGTTAGTTTAGGGCTAATCTTCCTCAAAAAAAAAGAAAGGAAATGGAGAACATCAAATAAGAATAGTTTCCACCTTCACCGCTAACCTGCATACAGTAATTCTAATTACCATATTCACCTGCATCCCTGCCCCCAAAGACAAACGCAAGTAAGAAACTAACATCAATGGCTTCCAAAATTCACCACCACTGATTCAGGGAGGAAAAGAGAAGGAAGGAAATACAAACAACTGGGGGAAGGTGGGTCATGAGGGTCAGCAGACAGAAAAGAGAATATGCAAGAAGAAAAGAGCCTTAGAAAGACACACACCCTGGGAGGCCACTGATGGCTTTCTATGGATATACCCCACCCCTTCCCCTCAAAAACTAAAAATCAACAAAATGGATCCCATATCATCTCCCACCCCAAATATTCTAATATTCAAACCATAAGGTGAAAGATATGCAAAGTCCTGACAAAAAAGGAACTAAGCATTAAAAATGTACTGAGAAGTAACAAAGTACAAGACCACCTGGGGTTAAAAAGCAACAACATGAAATGGGGGCAAAAAAGAGCTCCCCATTCTCCACACAATCACCACAGGTCCATCCAGCAGTTTGGGGAATAGACCTCTGACTGGAAGCTTCTTTGAGAAAATATGGCAGAACAAATTCTAACATTTCCTCAGAAGAACAGCCCACATACCGGAGTAGCACGGCCCTCTTGCCACCACTGTTATCTCTTTCTGGTGCTTACAAGCAGCCCTTCTGAGAAAGCATTCATTCTGGTAAGTGTCCCCATTTGATCCACAGACAGGAATGTAATTTGTATGGCACTGTGAAAAAAACAAAAATAAATTCAGAACTAGGCATGAATATTAATAGTTTATTTCATATTCATGAATGCAATACTATAGTACTATGACAGTCTTCTACTACACAATAGTTTGTTCTTTTATTTGGTTTAAAAAAAGAAAAGTTATGCTACTTTTTCATACCTTTGTTCACATTCATAATGAAAATAACTATCAATTATCAATAAAAATGAGAATGGAAACCCCTATCCTATCTACTTCATCTGCTTGCTATAAAGATCCAGTGAGAGAATCTAAGAGGACAGTCTTGGCAATGTTTGTAATGAGCATGAATTATGTAATATTTTATTAAAATTTTTATTATCAAAATTTGTTTATTTAATATCTCTAGTATGCAGAGTCCCAAGGTAAGAAGACACAAAGAAATACATGATAAATGTTCTCAGAGACCTTACAGTTAGAGAGGAAAACAGAAAAAAAAATACATATATATATACAGTAAAGCTAGATCACATACTAAAGACAGTAAGTATAATATATAATACCTATCACTGTGAGCTGAAGTATTCAAGAAAAGCCTCCTCAGAGAAAGTGGAATGTGAGCTGGGCCTTGAAGGATGAGTAGAAATAAGATGAAGAAAAAAGGTGATACAGTGAAATGACACTGGACCTGTATGTTTTAAAAAGCTTTTAAACTTCTATATGTCAAAAATGTAAAGGACTAAAGCTTTAAAATCTGGAGAAAATATTATAACAACATGACACAAGTTATTATCATTACTAAAAAGAGATAATACAAATTAATAAAAAATAGACAAAAGACAAATTTATAGAAAAAATACAAATAGCCAATTACTGTCATGCATTGCTTAATGATGGCAATACTTTCTGAGAAATGCACTGTTAGGCGATTTTGTCCTTGTGTGAACATCAGAGAGTGTACTTACACACAGCTAGATGGTCTAGCCTACTACACATCTAGACTCTATGGTATTAATCTTATGGGACCACCATGGTACATGCGTTCTGTTGACCAAAACATGGTGGGCATACCAATACCCTGTTACAGTAATCTAAATTGGTTCAACCTAACTTTTAAGAACATAATTTAACAACACACTCAGCCCTCTGCTACCACTGGTTCCACGTCCAAGTCTTCCATGTCCAAGGCTTCCATGTCCTCAGGTTCCACCAACCACAGGTTCGACCAACAGCTGATCTAAAGACCTATGATAGTTGCGTCTGTACTGAACATGCAGAGACTTTTTTTCATGTCATTACTCCATAAACAACACAGTATAACAACAACTTACATAGCATTCACATTGTATTAGGTATTATAAGTAATCTAGAGACGCTTTAAAGTATATAGGAGGATGTGTGCACATAATATGCAAATACTGCACCATTTTACATAACAGACTTGAGCATCCATGGATTTTGGTATCCAAGGGTGTCCTGGAACCCATCCCCTGTGGATACCAAGGGACAATTGTACATTTCAAGAGTCTTGAAAAAGGCAGGCAGTTTTTGATCCAGAATTACACATTTAGGGATCTATCGGAAGGAAATCATTGTAGAGGAAAACTTATGACAGCCATTTCAAACAGAAATCAATATCGCAAACGTAGAAGCAACCTAAAAAGCCAAGAAGGCAGTGTTTAATTAAAGCATGTTTTCTCTGTTCAAAGAATTAATATTCCAGTCATTGAGAATTACCTTTGAAAAGAATACTGGCTGACAGGAAAAGATAACATAATGTTGGGTGAAAAGTAGGCAATAACACCACACATATAACTTCTGAGAATTTTGTGCCATTTTAAAATATATTATCTAGTCCACAAAACTGAATGCAAATTTTTTAAATACTATAAAATAAAAATACAAGAAAATAAATTACATAAAACTATCTCAATTATTTAGAAAAAATAAATATTCATAAAGTAAATCCTGGAAGAAAACATCAATAAATTTTTCACTTTCCCTGTCATCATGGTTTTTTATTTCCATGTTTATGATTTTCTTTCTCAATTTTCCTGCAATGAACAAGATTTACTTTTATCACTTATTTACTTTTAAAAAGTGGTGAATTTACTTTATAAACCATAAATATGGCATGGCACCACATGTCAAGCACTAGCAAAAACAATTTCTAATAAAATATTTTATAACCAAGTTGATTGGCTATACATTATTAGTAGACTCCTGCATCAACTTTAATTAAAACTAAAATTTTACTTTAGGAAGCTTTCCTATATTCCTCCAATTTTTCATGGATCACATTCCTTTATTCTCTTTCCCTAAAATGTACACAACAACTTGTATGATGTCTGCATGAGTCAACAGGTTACTCTGCAATTATACAATGCATAATTAGCCAGGCACCCTAAGCTCCAAGACGTCAAGTGCTAAGTCTATAGACTTTCAACCCAATTCTCCCCTCACAAATGCTTAACGAGTTTCTAATGCAGTGCTCTCAAAGGTACTGATATCACCCCCTAGGGATGGGCACCCCTGTGGAGGCATCTTTGGTTGTAATGTTAATAAAAGGACATTACTGTCATTTAGCAGATGGATGATGTTAGATGTACTGTAAAGGAAAGGACAGTCCACAGAGCGAAGACAAACATACCATATAATGCTTCTCTAGTCATTCAGGTAGGAACTATGGTAAAACTTACCATATACAAACAAGGCTGCTCTGTTATAACTTATCCCAATATTCGCTTTTGTTTTTTTAAGGTATGCTTTTTTTTCTTCTTTTTTTTGTAAGGAAGATTTGGCCCTGAGCTAACATCTGTTGCCAAGCTTCCTTTTTTTTTTCCTTTGTTCTTCCCAAAGCCCCAGCACATAGTTGTAAGTCATTCTAGTTCTTCTATGTGGGATGCCACCACAGCATGGCTTGACAAGCAGTGTGTAGGTCCGTGCCCAGGATCCAAACTGGCTATACAGCCAAAGACATTCATTGTAGCATAATTTGATAGCAGCCAAATAAAATTCCCCAACGTCTATGGCCATGAATAGAAGAATCATTGAATAAACTGACAATTGTTTGATAGTCATCTAAACTACGAGAAATAATGCAACAATTAAAAACGGTTGGATAAACATGTGCTGAGTTGATGCCAAAGCAGAGCACACGAACCTAACCACTTGGCCACAGGGTGGCCCCTAATATTAGTTTTCATTCTAGCATCTATCATACCTCTAGTTTTTTGTTTTCAAGTATTCTGGTATGAAATTGCTGCTGATCTTTTTTAAAATCCAAACATTCATTATAAGTAGGTATAAGCATCTGACTACTGTACTGTCTTCTAACATAATCATGCCAAAGCACTGACATTTTGAAATACTTATTTTACTATAAATTACTTTTATTTCTCCTTTACATTGCAATCATACACCATATTGATTTCTTTAATTATGTATTCATGTTGGTTACATTATCTATGAATTCATTTAAGAATAGTGAAGAAATGCAATACAAATTATTGGTTATAAAAAAGGGTCATGGGGCCAGCCCCATAGCCAAGTGGTTAAGGTTCCACATGCTCTTCGGCAGCCCAGGTTCGCAGGTTTGGATCCCAGGGGCAGACCTGCTCCACTCGTCAGCCATGCCGTGGAGGCATCCCACATACAAAGTAGAGGAGGACTGGCACGGATGTCAGCTCAGGATGAATATTCCTCACATACAAAAAAAGGGTCATTAAGTCTGACAGGAATGAGAATCTCTAAGGTAATAGTGAACAGTTATTGAACAAGAGTTTCTATCTAGTAAACGCTGGCTCCCACTTCAAATGTCCTATCTAACTTAAATGTCCTAACACTCCTGGGAAGCACATGACTTAGCGCTTAGAGCTGGGGCTCTGAAGTCAAATGTTGAGTTCAAATCCTGCGTCCACCATCCAAGTGACTGTGGGCTAGCACCAGCCCCATATATAATATGGTAATCGTCATCATATCTACCTAATAAAGTTGTTAGGAGGATTAAATACGAGAAACCCATCTTTAGCATCTGTATCTGGCCATGGTAAATTCTCAATAAATATTTGCTGGTTTTGCTATTGCTATTAACATTTCTGAATCTTAAGTAGTTGCCCAGGGTCATAACTAGTAAGTGGAAGACCCATGATTCCTTACAATTGGTGTACTCTAAGCACTCCACATTCAAGTTATGTAGCAGGTGACTATATGTCACCTGATATAGTGAGCAGGGGGCTTAAAACAGTTCAGGCAATGTCCCTGAAATTCAACTTAAGCACACACCTAGGCGTGAGCGTGAGATGAGAGAAGCAGACCTGCTGGTCCTTGGTCAGTCTGTTTCCAGGGTCTCTCTTAGGGACCTCTCATTGCACGAGGGGGAATTAAGGGATTTGGGCAATGTTAACAACATGCAAACATGCAACTTCTGGCTTAGGCACTGACTCTGCGCTAAGGTCCTGACTCTAACCTAAGGGTTGCCTCCTCTATTGCCACTCCTGCTGGGGGAGAGAACTCTCCCCAACACCTTCTCTTGAGCTGGACGAATGTGATTTGAAGTAGTTTAGAAAGATACAGCAGTGTACAACTCCGGAGCCACATCCATTCAAGCATTTATGGTGGACCTACTGTGTGTCAGGCACTACCCTGAAAATAATAAATAAGAAAATAATAACAAGGTTGTGATAGTTAATTTTATGTGTCAACCTGATGGGGAGCCAGGGACCCAAAATTAAATATTATTTCTGGACATGTCTCTGAGGGTGTTTCTGGATGAGATCAGCATTTGAATCAGTGGATTGAGTAAGTGTCCTCCCCAATGTGGGTGGGATCATCCAATCCACTGAGCAGCTGAAGAGAACAAAAAGGTGGAGGAAGAGAGAATGCACTTTCTCTGCCTGACTGTGGAGCTGGGACACTGGTCTTTCCCTGGTTCTCAGGCCTTCAGACTCAGACTGGGACTTATGTCATCAGCTCCCCTGAGTCTCAGCCCTTCAGACTTGGACTGGAACTATACCAGCGGATTTCCTGGGCCTCCAGCTTGCAGACAGCAGATCACGGGACTTCTCAGCCTCCATAACCAAGTGAATCCACTCCTTAAAATATATCTCTCCTCTCTGTTTCTCTGGAGAACCCCAACTTTTATACAAAGGTCTAAGAAGAGAGCATGACACCTAGCGAGAGCAGACACTGATAAATTGAGGAAGAAAGAAACACAGTTCAGAGAACTCCTGAGAGAAGAAGAAAGAAAACAGGGAAGAAGTTGTAGGCACTCCTCTTTGTATATTACCAAAGTTTTAATGGAAAGATGTAATATTGATCATTTTTCTTTGTGCAAAATTAATGAAAGTAGCTTTGTTTATATAATATGGCAAGATATAATTCCTCTCACTAACAGACTGAAAAAAACAATTTTAGACTTTGTTTAAAATCTTATTATCTGTTAAAATGTGTTTAAATTACACCCCAGAAAGCTTATACTAACACTGAAAGCATGCAGAATCATAAGCAAGTTTTTTAATGAGTTGAAAGACACTGTTAAAGCATCCAGCAGAAAGGTGTTTAATGGGCATATGAGATACTCTTCTTCAACTGGCAAGAACTAACTTGAACAGATACATAAGCGTACGAGAAGGCAGAGTAGTCAAAAGAAGGCTGGCTCAGCAGCAGGATCAAATCATGTTGTAAGCCCTTAGGCAGTTTGCTCCTACAAGGCAAGCAACGTGCCTTGAAACATCTTTATATCCCCAGCTTCCAGCCCAGCACCCAGCACAAAGCAGGCAATGGATAAACAACTAGTGATCTCAACTCCTAACTCATTTCCTTTCCTGCTGTCACAGGGTAAGACTGCAAGGGATTCAGACAGATCGTGAGAGGATTTTCTAGCTGTTCAAGTATGTTAAAACAGTCAAAAAGGCTATTTCTTTACAATCTTAGAGTTGCAGAGAAAGATTTTCAATTAATGAAAAGCAGAATCGTAAAGACAAAGATAAAAATGATACGAAAATTTAAAAGTTTTTATCAAAAAATAGAAACAAAATGAAAATGACACTGGGGTAACTTCTTTAAAATATTCTTTTTTGTATCTATATAAACTAAAAAGGAACACTCTCTAAGGTAAATACTGTTAAATGAGTTAGCACTTAAAGAGGAATTAAAACACCTACATGTTTGTATAACATAATATTTCTAGAAGGAAATATAAGAAGTTACAGACGTCCTCTCTGAGAACACCAACTGGTAGCCTGGAGTGGAAGGAGGACATGTTTTTCATTATATTATCTACCTTATATGTTGTGCAAGTTGTTTACTATGGGCTATATGGGACTCTTTTAAAAACCACATCAAAGGAGTACCTACATCATGGGTTCTCGTGAAAGTTTATGAGTTATATAACTTACATATATATATATATATATATATATATATATATATATATATATATATATAATGTTTAGGACCATTAATGGATATAAGTACTCAAATAGTGTATTATACACAGTGTATACATATATATACACACATACCTACATATGTCTTTGCAAATCAACACAAGGGAAAAAGAAAATACTGCAAAAAATGGGCAAAGAGTATGAAATATTCACCAAAAAAATGATGAAGATATGGCACATTTTGAATCTCTCTAGTAATCCAATGAAAATTAAAAAAAAATTTTTTTACCTTTCACACAAGAAAATTTAAAAAGGACTGAGAAAATCCACTACCAAGAGGCTGAGGGGAGACAACCAGTCTAACACACTATTGGTGAGAATGTTAATCTGCATATGAGTATCCACTGGCCTAACAATTCACATCAAGGAATTTAACCCGGGGAAATATCAGAAGACAGCCGGAATAGGTGACAGCCCCAGTCTTCCTGATACAGGGTGACTCAAACACCAAAAAGACCCTGCAATCCTTCTGGCTTGAAGAACCAAATGACAGAGTTCAGGGCAACTAGAGCCACTGGAAAGAGAGAGAAAAATCCAGAAAGGAGAGAGTCAGAGGGCAGTCCCAGATTCTGTAAATAAACAGACCAAATTTCTGGCTGACTCCAAAACGACTCATGGGGCAGACTCCAAGTAGCCCAGCCAAGGCTAAAAGAAATGAACTGATATTGGTGCTGCTGTCCAGAACACAGAAGAGAGAGTCTGCAGTTTGAGTTCAGCCAATTTAACTGTTTCAAAAATGACAATACTCTTTCAGAGATTCACAATGTGCAGGACAAATTCAAAATCACTCTAACATGAAGAAACAAGAAAGCACAATCCATTCTCAAATCATAAGACAATAAACAAACAGGATCCCTGAGATGTCCCAGATGTTATTTAAAATCTTTAGCAGGGCCAGCCCAGTGGCATAACAGTTAAGTTCATGTGCTCTGCTTTGGCAGCCCAGGGTTAGTGGGTTCGGATCCCAGGTGTGGCTCTACACACTGCTTATCAAGCCATGCTGTGGCAGTGTCCCACATACAAATGGAGGAAGACTGGCACAGATGTAGCTCTGAGGCAATCTTCCTCAAGCCACAAGAAGGAGATTGGTAACAGATGTCAGCTCAAGGACAATCTTCCTCAAGCAAAAAAGAGGAAGACTGGTAACAGATGTTAGCTCAGGGACAATCTTCCTCACCAAAAATAAATAAATAAAATGAAATCTTTAGCAAAGATTTTAAAGTGGCAATCATATCTATGCTCAAGGAAAATATGCTTTTAAGGAATGAAAATACAGGAAATTTCAGCAGATAAACAGAAATTATAAAATTCTAGAAATAAAATAACTGATATTAAGTCACTGGAAGGGCAGAACAGAGATGACAGAAGAAAAGATTAAGTAAACATGAAGATAGATCAATAAAAAGTTACCTAATGTGAAGAACAGAAAGAAGTAAAAGTTCATGAGGGCTTGGTTACACTATGTACACCAACACCTTCTTTTAAGGAAAGCAGCTCACTTTGGTTGCTATCCCTTTTAAGAGGGTTTGGGAAGCAGGCAGGGAACCAGGCACAACACAGTGGCCAGACCATTGCACGAGTAACTGGCGGTGGGGGGAGGGATGGTGCCAGCTAAGCCATGTCAAAGGTGGCTATTGTGAATAAACAGTCGATTGGAAAGTCCCTTTTGATCATGAAGAACCTCTTTGACCAGACAATAATATACCCCGCTACCCTTCCTCCTTTAAACGCTCCACTTTTAATGAAAATAAACAACATGATAGTTTACAGTTTTCAAAGAGGTTTCACATGTAAGCTCTCTTTCTAGCTTTGATTCTCATTACAATATCCTAAGAAAGGGTAAGAATATGCCTTCTCTTTTCAGATGGATCATACAGAAACTTGCCTGAGGTTATAGGGTTACTGGAAATACTGACTCTCCTTTACTTTGATACACGATCTCTGTACCCTTTCCTCCCCTTGAAATCCGAAATCATGGAGATCATGAGTGAAAAAAATTCTAGTTCCTTCTTAATCTCACCTCAAATCTAGAATCAGGGACTATCTTGTGAGAAACATTCTGATGCCAAATTATAATTTAATCACAGAAAAAAAACAAAAAGGAAGAACTGAGTGTAACACATTTTGCTTCCCTTGTTATACTTATTTTTTTAGACAATAGAATCACAACTAAAATAGCATCTGAAAAGCAAAGATATTCACACTCTTAATTTGAGGTTCCCCTTTCTAGTCCATCTCTATCCTTGAACTACCCTGAGGCACCAAGTCGGTCATGTTCTTTGGCCTAAAAAGATGAGACAGCAGCAAACAACGGAAGGGAAAAAGACTAGAAAGAAAAGGAAAGGGGGAAAAAATGCCAACATTTTAAATAAGAGACTCTACTGCAGCCTGTACCTTAACTCCTTTCAGTGACAATTACACCTTACATTTGAACAGAACTTTAATACTTTTTCAAAGGATTTTCACATCTATTATTGACAGTCTGTCCACTTAATTCAAGGAAAGCAGCATGGAAGGTACAAACACTAGTGCTTCATCTGACAAAAATGTCAATGGGCTGTGAACCCAACTTCCTTACGGAGTTCAAGGTGTTTTAAGCTTTTTAATTTGAACAATGTAGAATCATAAAATATGAGAAATGTGAAATTTTTCAAAATAGGTTTAGTTTCCTCACCTGAAACTGACATGCACATTTCAAACCATCTCCATCTTCTTTGCAGACTCCTCCATATTTACACGATGACTCATCACAAACTCTTACATCAGACTCTCTCACATTTAATTCTGTGAAAGAGGAAAAATTGTTTCTTAATTTGTCTTTTTGCATCCAAATGTACAGAGATAAATAAAAGAACAAAATCCTTAAAAATGTGATCACCGCATTCACAAGTACAATAGTAAGACATAACATACAAAAAGCAAGTTCTATATGACACAAAATGTTCAGGATTCCCCAAAGAGAATCTTGCATAATAATATGCCTAAAAGTAACCCAAACCAAAATAAAACAAAATTTTAAGATTTCATATAATTTCCAAAGGTAAATCTATAGAATTTTTCCAGCTGGCCTGCCATGAGCTTTAGCATCTTCTTACTATTGTCCTAATATTTTAGATTATTTTTCTATTGACTAAGTCACTTTTAAGGATAATAAATAAGAATAACTAAAAGGAATCTTAATTCTTTAGGTATCCAGAATAAATTGTGAGTGATCATTATTCACTCTAGATAAACTTTTAATTACAATAAAAAGAACTATAAAATTTGAATTTCATACAATAGATATGTATGGAACATTTATGTGCACAGAATTAAAAAGATTCAAAATCTTGTTAGACTTAAAATTTTTAAATGACTGATTTAATTTTGTTCTACCAGAGGAAGCAGAGCCAATCAACACGACTAGAATTCTGCGGTCATTTTGTTCCTGCTCCAAGACTGTCAGCCTTGCTCTGGTACTACCAAATTAAAGCTTTCTAGAAAACCAATCGATAGCCTCAAGGTTAGTGCTAAGTAAAGCTGCCAATCAGGTGGAATTGAGTGAAAACCACTACAAAGCAATTTTCATATCCTCCCTATTGGGAATGAGAAATACAACAACAAATGAACTAATGCAAACAATAAACAAATGATTGTTTTAAAAACCCATCCCTTGGGGGCCAGCGCCGTGATCAAGAGGCTAAAGTTCCAAGTGCTCCACTTTGGCGGCCCCAGGGTTCAGGGGTTCAGATCCTGGCAGGGGACCTACTCCACTCATCAGTCATGCTGTGGAGGCACCTCACATACAAAGCAGGAGACTGGCACAGATGTTAGCTCAGGGCTAACCTTCCTCAAGCCAAAAAGGAGGAGGATTGACAATGGATGTTAGTTCAGGGCAAATCTTCCTCACAAAAATATAATACTAATAATAATAATAATAAAAAATCCCAGTATAGCAGTGAACACATAAGTCTGGGAGCAGAGCGGCCTAAGTTAGCTCCTGACTCTGTCTGGGAAGAGCACAAGGTCCCCTGCAACTCTAGATCAAGATGAGGTCTAGGGAAACAGACCTTGGGGAACTCTATCCCTGTCCAACATCCTCCATCACTGGTCATTTCCCATTTCGAGACTTGAAAGCAGGGCTCAGTGGACTGAGAAAAGAGAGTTGTATATCTGGTGACATCTGTCCTGCTGACTTTCATTGCCTCTCTCTGTCCCATTTGTTCTTACTGCTCTGCAACAGTGTTTTGGGTCTCCTTCCTCTAACTGACCCTCCGAGGAGCTGGCAGTCAAGTACCTAAATACTCAAGGAGTTGACAGTCAATAGTACTCATTTGAGTAACCACTCTGAACCAAGCACTGCAGGAGTATAGGCAAATGTCTGTGTAACTATGTGATACCAAAAAACATGTTTTTGTTTTCCTTACGTGGATCTCAGGTGCACAGAATTGGATTACTCTAAAGTTCAAGCATACATGTACAATTGTTTTTAAAAGACATGAGCAGAAACTTAAAACAACAGGAAACTAATACAACTGTTCTGACGTTCTCACTGTTTCACAAACCATTTCAGGGGCAGACAACCAACTTTTAAATCCTTTCACGCTGGCCACAGAGCCTTTATGTTCTTGGTTGTCCTCATCTCCCAATTTCTGCTCCTTTTTCCCTTTCCCCCTTAGCCACTTGCAAAGCTCCTGCGGCTCAATGCCAAATGTGGGGTTTGCTTTTTTTTCTATCAACCTACATTCCTACTGGAGACCTGCACAAGGTCTGGTTCCAATTACTGTCTAATATACATTTTGAAACCCAGGGAAGAAAACTAAATATTAATAAAGAACCACTCTGGAAAAGAGAATAAGAATATATAATATCTTTGCTCAACTAGAGGCTGAACCAATTTTAGGGGCCACAGAAATAACAAGAATTGTACCATTTCAGAAATAAAATTTAATACATTTCTTTTTTCTTTTCTTTCTCACCTTAAAGCTCACACTGGGCTCCAATACAATCAGACATATAAAATAAGAATAAGTAAAGTTTTTATTTTGTCTGTGGGTCAAGATCACGCTCTGAGCTATGACTTGCTACCTTGGCTTGAGATTCTTTGCATTGTCATATGTTTTACCTGTTGGATTTCAAAAGTACAGTAGGATTCAATCGAGAACCTACACCATCCCTGCCACTTAAGGTTCACATATGTCTGGAGACCTAGAGTTGTTCAGGGATCTGCACGAGAGACTACAGGACATTTGGGGAGAGTCATCATCCTTACTAAAGTGAGGCGGCAAAGCTTGGCCCAACAAACAAAGCCTTGGACAGAAGTGATCCTAAGCACAAGGTAGCATCTATCACTCGGATCGCTCCCCCAACCCAGCCCCAAAAGGTCATCATGCCAGAGACAGAGGCTACAATGAGACTAAAGAGTAGTTTGCGCTAAAACCTCTGAAGCAACAAGATATAATAACAGGCGAGAAAAGGGGCTGGGACGCCTCAACAGCCCCAGCCCAGCAACAGCACACCTGGCAGGAGAGCACGGCCAAGGAGATCATAGCAGGAGGCACGGAGGTACATCCCTGATATCCGGGGGAGCTGCAGGGACAGCAAACATCACAGGAAGAAAAAGACGAGTCACGTGGCAGTGGCCAGAATACATTAGTGAGCCCACAGAATACATTAGTGAAACACCCTTTGGTGACTCCAAGAATGAACTTGGGGGGAGGCATTCTCAGGGAGCTAGAGGTCCTACATTAATAGGTAAGGGTAAAAGTCATGAAATGCTGATTATACCGGTTATTGGTCGAGTTTTATTTTATGCCTATCTTGCTATCAAATCCATGCTATTTTCATGTGTGTGAATGTGTTAAATGTGATTATTTAGGTGATTTAATTAAGTGTCTACTATGTACCTTAGTCTACGCTAAGAATTTGGGGCACACAGAAAAATACATAACAGGGAGCTTATGATCTTGGTAACATATGGAACAACTAGTGATGAATTCAATATAGTCTATAATTAAGGGGAAAATTGTGTTGTACAGGCTATGATGCTCTAGTAGTTTCAAGAAGTAGGAGATAAAAATGGACTTGAGTGCAGTGTGCAGTGTCAAAGATGCAAGACTTGCACTGACTTTGAAAAACTGACTTTTTTCCTGATTATAAAACTAATAGGCATATTATACAGAATTCAGAAAAGATTTAAAAATAAAGAATGTCTGAACTGCCCACAACATGTGAGTCATAGCAAAAGAGAGAGAAGAGAATGTTCTTACCTAGGAAAACAATCTAAGTGAAAGCAGAGACACAGGTAATTTAATAATACACATAAATATTAATATCAGTGATTCCCAAACCATGCTCCTGAGGAAAACTGGTGTCCTAGACTATAATGTACCTTCACTAAAATCAAATTAAGAATTTCATTTTCTTATTTGCAAGGGAAAAATGTCAATGGAAAGAATTTTCTCATTTTAAGAGTTTTTGTCAGTTATATTTCTTAAATTTTCAGTATCTGATATTACTTCCTTGCTAGCTATCAAAAAACTAGTGTTCAACAGTAAGTAAAGAAAATTAATAGAAAAATTCCAACAGTGTTTCATGAGAACAAAAGATCACGAATGTCACAAGCTCATGAATGCACATTTCAAATTGCTTTGTTATAGTGGCAGTCACTGCTAATTGCCTACATTGGACCCATTCTCCCCTCTTAGTAAGGGAACCCCAATTTAGCTCAGGGACACAAGGTATTCAGCTAAATAATGTGTATTTCCCAGACTCCCTCACTCTGTGCCAGTTCACATATAAGCACCGTCCCTTCCTCCTTCATTCTTCCATTCTTTCTCCTGCCTGCAGAGTAAACCCCTTCCCTAAGGTTGTAGCAGTTACCTTGCATGCAGGAAGATGAAAGCTACAAGCTAAGGTGGTAGAGCAGAAAGACAGGAGCAAGAGTGCCGAAAGAGAGAATTATAGTCACCACCCCTACCCTGGATATCATCCCTCCACACTTACTGTCATAAGAAATAAACAAACACAAATAAATAAAGCTCTTATCATTCAAGCCACTGTTGGTCAGGTCATTGATATGTGTAGTTAAACACAATCCTGATATAATGATTGCATGTAAATTTAATGCATAAATATTTCTAAGCAAGTCAAGTAATTTTGTGCTACACCACAGTCAACATGATAAAACTAATTTATCAAGAGCATAATGACTTTATTTTTTAAAGATTTGCAAAAGATGTTAGCTCAGGTGACAATCTTCTTTTTTTTTTTTTCTTCTCTTCGCCAAAGCCCCCTAGTACATAGTTGTGTATTCTAGCTGTGGCATGTGGGACACCACCTCAGCATGCCTTGAAGAGCAGTGCAATGTCTACACCCAGGATCCGAACAAGCAAAACCCCAGGCTGCTGAAGTGGAGGGGGTGAACTTAACCACTCAGCCACAGGGTTGGTCCCCATCGTGACTTCTTGATGCTCTGACTCCTCACCACCTGAGCTCAAACTCAGTGCAGAAGGAATTCTATTTGGGGATCATCTTCTGAATGTTACTTTTTTCCAAGTATTCCATACAGTACCAAACATCAAGAAGGTACCCTACTACCTGTCAACATTAACGATTACACACCTGCCTTCCTGAGCCCAAAATGGAAATTCAGCAAAATGGATGAGCCATTACCAAGGCCCTCAAAAATCAATGATCCAAACAGAATGATTTCACACAAAGCAGCACTCAGAAGAACGGCTCAAAAGAAAAATATTTTTGCTCTGGTTTCAAATCTATCCATCACACAATGCTCCAAACATAAAACTTGTCTCAATTTTCATTAACATTTCAAAGCTGGGAAACAATACACAGTAGGGGAAGAAATCCTACTTACTATGAACCTGAGCTGCCAAAATCCTCAACTTTTGGCAGCACTAACTAGGTTCAGGCTACAGTTCAAAACGAGACCCACGAGCCCTCCAGAATGACACGACTTTTCTACCACCCTTCCATTAAACAGAAGGTAGTTCTGGAGATCTTAGGAGTCAGCTAACACCTACAGAGAACCAAAAGTGAAAACTTTGCAAGATGTTATGAAAAAATTCAGGGCTTCTCAACCTTGGCACTACTGACATTTCGGGTTAGATAATTCTTTGCTGTGGGGGGCTATCCCATGCATTGAAGGATATTTAGCAACAACTCTGGCCTCTACCCCCTAGATGCCAGTAGGACCACCCCAGTTTTAACAACCAAATACATCTTCAGTCATTATCAAATGTCCCCTGGAGAGAAAATCACCCCCAGTTGAGAAGCACTATAAAGATGAAACCAAAGGCTTTATGCTTAGTTCTCTAACACAGTCACTGTAAAGAAAATGAGTCAAATAAGCAGCAATCTCCAAGATCTCTGCACATTACTATGGCTATTTTTCAATTCAATAGAGGGACCTAAATATATCGCCTCCAAGTTCATGTCAAGTCCTGGCTCAGAGTGGGTAGCCCTCCTTAGGTGATGCCTTAACCTCCAGGAAGCCTGGCTTCCTTCCCCTTTTCTTCAAGGTCAATATGACCTCTATTCTAAAGATCCCATAGCTTGTTTCTTAGTCTTCCAACTCTTTTCCTGACCTTTCTACACCAGTTGATACTCCCAGCCTCCCCTTCCAACTTAATAATCTTGATTATCCCCTCAACTCTCTGGCATCTCACTCATTCCTTTTTCCTTCTCCTACTGCCCATCCATGTCCACAACAGTCACAGAACTGATCTCCAACTTAATCAACTCTCCAGATTAACCCAAGTGTGCTGTTCTCTCTAAAACATGCCAACCAATGCCCACGGCACAATGAATCCTCAGGGCTGGTCGGTCATTCTCTAGGGCACCCATGAGCACTCCAGCTCCACCCAGGAGAGCTGCTCTTCTGCTTCAAGAGTCAGTCGATAAGTTATACAGCCTGTGTACGCCACCTGTATTTTTATTGTAATTATGTGTTTCTATGAAAATAGAATATTAAAACAAAATTGAATGTTATGGAAAGACTTAAGAAAAGCAAGTTGCTTTTTAAAAAAAATCACTGTTGGAGTATGGAGATTCCTCAAAAAATGAAAAACAGAACTACCATATGATCCAGCTATCCCACTACTGGGTATCTATCCAAAGAGCTTAAAGTCAGCAATTCCAAAAGTCCCATGCACCCCAATGTTCACTGCAGCATTATTTACAACAGCCAAGACGTGGAAGCAACCTAAGCGCCCATCAACAGATGACTGGATAAAGATGATGTGGTATATACATACAATGGAATACTACTCAGCCTTAAAAAAGAACAAAATCGTCCCATTTGCAACAACGTGGATGGACCTTGAGGGAACTATGTTAAGTGAAATAAGCCAGATAGAGATGGACAATCTCTGTATGACTCCACTTATATGAGGAATTTAAAAATGTAGACAAAGAGAACAGATTAGTGGCTACCAGAGGAAAGCTGGGGTGGAGGGTGGGCACAAAGGGTGAAGTGGTGCACCTACAACACGACTGACAAACAAAAATGTACAACTGAAATTTCACAATAGTGTAACCTATCATTAACTCAATAAAATTAAATTAAAAAACAAAATCACTGTTGGGGCCGGCCAGTGACACAGCTGTTAAGTTCACACGTTCCGCTTCAGCGAGCCAGGGTTCACTGGTTCGGATCCCGGGTGCAGAACTACACACCACTTTGTCAAGCCACGCTGTCATAGGCATGCCACATACAAAGTAGAGAAACATGGGCATGGATGTTAGCTCAGGGCCAGTATTCCTCAGCAAAAAAAGAGGATTGGCAGCAGGGCTAATCTTCCTCAAAAAAAATTAAAAATTTTAAAAATTTTAAAAAATAAAAATCACTGTTGCATTAGGTGTAGGCAAGATAAAAACCTAGAATTCTGGAGCCACAAGACTAAAAGTTCCTTTTTAAAGAGATTAAAATTGGAACTTGCAATCAATGCACAATAAATGTGTTTATTCAAGAAAGGGGAAACTCCAACTATTCTGAAAGAAAAATTCTGGCCCGTCTTTCAAAATATTGTTTCATAAATACATATTTATCTGTTTTTAAGTTAAAATGCTGCATACATTTATGAATCATTTTGTGACTCCCCACTTTAAATAATTTTCTTGATTAACCAACTAACTACCAGAATCTTAAGGCACCAAAACAAGAAGGCTCCCAGTATACATAAGAATGTTCTGTCCTCGGCCATCCCATTCCGTCACCTTGTCTTGTGTCTTCTCTCTCAGCATTCTCATCCACTCCCACCACTTCAGTCTTCAAACCTGGCTTTCCCCAACCTTGGTAAAGCCATCTCACCTGCTTTCCCAATGCTATTTCCAGTCTTCCGAGCATTGCTGGGGAAAGTCCTATGAATTAATGCTTTCTACGTACTTATCAACATGTGGAAATCCCCACAGGACATGTTCAAACTTTTTACCTTGTTCTTAAGAAGAAAATTTCAATGGGTTTATACTCATCGTCTAGATGTTAACAGTACTTGGGAAAATCTTCCCTTTTTTAGAAAAGCACACCAATCTGATCTGACAGGACCCATGCTGGTTGGTTTCACTCCCAAAACAAGCCCAGCTTGTTCCTGATCTTGGTTATGTCCATAATCACTACTCTGAACACAATGGCAATACTTAAAATGTTTAAACATTTAAAATATCCCACACCAGGAAATGGTGTAGTACAGCCAGAGAATATCACACAGCTATTTTAAAGGTTGTCGGTATGTGGCAATATGAAAATACGCTGATGAACATCAAGTGAAAAAGCAGAAGACAAAACCATATACACACACTATGATTATGTATAAAAAATACACAGTACGGGGGCCAGTCCAGTGGCACAGTGGTTAAGTTCACATGTTCTGCTCCGGCAGTCCGAGGTTCGCCAGTTCAGATCCGGGGTGTGGACCCATGCACCGCTTATCAAGCCATGCTGTGGGTAGTGTCCCACACTTAAAATAGAGGAAGATGGGCACAGACGTTAGCTCAGGACCAATCTTCCTCAGCAAAAAGAGGAGGATTCGCAGCAGATGTTAGCTCAGGGCTAATCTTCCTCAAAAAAAAAAAAAAAACAAAACACTATAGGAAAATCCAGCCAGGAAAAAACAAAAATGGAAACAGGGACCGTGTTTATACCAACAGAACAACGGATGATTTTTTCCTCTTTTGAAGCTTCTATACTGGTTATATCTAATGGGGAAAAAAACTCAACGTGATTTCAAACAACCCCATTTATAGTTTGCTCTATCACGAACAAAGCATTAGCATCGATAAGGGCCAGGTTCACATGCTAGTTCACCTTTTAGAATAATAACACTCTCTCCAGATATTGTAATGACTAGGTAAGACATGTACTAGGAAGCAAGAGTGCCTAGAACAAGGAGGCATACAACCAAGATTCACTTCCCCTCTTCCCCCAGACCAATCTGAAGGACACCTTCCATGACACAAATCACTGAAAATACATTGCAGGGTAAAATCAAATAATAGAGTTAATAAATGATGACTTCAGTCCCAGCAAATGAGATGAATTAGAAATTAAATTCTCTTCAACTTGTTTACTAAATTAGCCATATTACATTAATTCTCTTCAACTACAAAGATACGAGGGGGAAAATAAATTGTACTTAATACTTCATGATACAAAACCAAAAGCAGTTTACATTAACATTAAAAAGCATTAATAGAAGAGATGACTAAAACTTCTCTAAGCTATATTTAATGACCGAAATTTCACATATGCCACACAATTATCTGACTCCAATGTTTTTCATCCCATTCTACATACCACTGCCAAACGACCCTTTGGGAAACACCACTTTGAGCACGTCAATCCTGCACCCCAAGCCCCACAATCATCCCGCACTGCCTACTTCAGTCCTAAATGCCCGTGTCAGGAGCATCAGGCAAGATGACGGGGAGGATAAACCCCAGCAGGATCAGAAAGAAAAGACGACCTAGGTCCCCAGCATTACACGTATCC